AGGAGGATTGCTGCATGCTAGAGACTATTTGGCTATGCAGGATTCCTTCAGGCACTTCAGAGTTTGGCTCTCACAGCATAATAGCTTGGTCATTAGGGCTGTGTGAAGCTTCAGTCCCTGATTCAATCTGGTGTGAAGCTTCAGTCCCTGATTCAATCTGGATTTGGCCTGATTTGGTGGCCGAATATCCAAATCCAAATTGAATCAGAGGACCCTGTAATCTCTCCAAATCAAATTGGAACTCTCTGAATCAATTTGGAAAGATTCAGAGATTTGAACATAGACACAGCTTTAAACATTTTTTCTACGTACCCCTAGATAGCAGGCAGCTGGTGATCGCTGCGATGCTGGGCCAGATGGAGCATCCCACAGGAACACAGGAGGCCCCTCCAGCATGCTCCCTGGCAGGCCCAGAAGTAAACCAGAAGTACTTCTGGTCCATTTCCAGATTCACAGCCGAAAACATGGAGGGCCCCTTGCACTCCTGTGGGATGCTTCATGCGCTCCAGCATCACAGCGATCACAGCCTGTGCCTGGTACCTCAAGGTATGTAGAAAAAAATGTTAAAGCTGTGTCTGTGTCTGAATCACTGATTCTCCAAATCAGCATCGAATCTTCAGATTCAGGTTCGGCCAAATCAAACTGGGGACAGTGATTGGAATCAATGAATCAAACCACTGTCCCTGATTTGGGCCAAATCCAAATCCGAATTGAATAGGGCCCGCTTCGCACCTCCATATTGGTCATCACTTTCAGTTCCTGCCTCTAGGAGTGCAGAGACTGTCTGTTAAGTTGTATCTAGTCATTACATTGTAGACTGCCTAGGATCAACCCCATAGGGAGAGTGAAGCCATTTCCGCTTGCACTCTAGGGGTTACTGAGCAGAGAACTGGGAGAGTGTGTGTTTGACAGTATTCATGACAGACAGTGCAACTTCCTTCCCTCCTCTATCAGTCTGTTTGCTAAACTTCCAGCACCCAAGATGCTCATGCTGGTGAGCCTTTGTTCTAATAGGAGCACACAAATGCCTGAGTTCACAGGATTATATGTGCTTAGGGAAGACAAATAGAAGTCCTTAGTGCATGATAGGGGTTAGGGCATAATAGGCCCCTGAGGGAAGGCAGGGGTCAGGGGCTGGGTCAGAGTTCAGAAGCCAAGTTCCCAAGTGTGGAGGGAAATCCAGGGGCAAAGTCCAGTACACAGGTCAGGTCAGGGTCCAGAAAACCAGCAACCAAGTTACCATGGCAGGCAAGCAATCTACAGGGCAAAATTCAAGCACTGAATCAAGCCAGGTATCAGGAAACAGGTCTGAAAGGGAATTCTAGAGCCAGAATCCAGGGAAAAGCTGAAGCCAGGGTCAGGAACTAGGAAAAAACAGAGATAGCAGGAATCAAGAGTCTTGCCACAGCAGACTGAGTCAAAACTGTTGACTGGCCTGGAAACCTGTGCCCCAGCTAAGTCCAATGCTAGACAGCCCTCTCAGAAGCCAATCAGGATGCTCATTGATCACTGCTCCTAAACCAGGGCAGAGTTACTTATCTGGTGGCTCACTGCAGATGTGCCTGCTTAGGTACTTGTCCCAGACTGGCCTGCCTGATCAGCTACCATGTAGCTCTAGTCCCACTGGAATTTCCTAATTTGCTGGATCTCCTTTCCACAAGGAATTTCCCAGATATTTGGGTGCGCTGTCAGGGACTGAGGAGGCAAGATCCGAGCCACTGGGAAATGGGAGGGATATTTTTAACCTCTGTTTCTTTGCTACAGAGAATTGGCAAAGCATTGATGGCAGCTGCCAAAGGGCAGTGGGAGAATTAGACAATAATCCGGTATCCAGAGCCATAGCTCGCCACCTTGGCATTGATATCTCTCCAGAAGGCCGTGCAGCCAGGAACCGCAGAGGCATTGTCATTATAGTCCATGGAGCTCCTCTTACAGGTACACAAACTGTTCCCTTCCTGAAGGACCATTTTCTAACCACAAGGAGACAGGATGAGGGAGTAGAAATGAAGGCAGTGGTACATTTCTTATATTTTATGATTGTCTTCTTCAGGCAGCTTGGAGCTATGTGGAAAATTGGCCTTCCAGCTGGTGATAGCAGGACAGAAGACTTATTACTAGTCCTAGTCTGAGATCAAATGTTAGGCCTCTCAGCCCAGTTCTCTTCTCGCACCTATTTTACATCAGCATAACTCCACTAATGTTAATATAGTCCTGATCGACACTAGTATCTGTGATAGAAATCAGAGTGCACGTTTCTAGGGAAAAGGAAGTTTCTAGCCAGGATTGACTGCTTAGGATTTGATGTTAGTCAGCACCTAGAAAGACAGTGATACAAATTGTGTAGGACGCTGCTTCTGCTGAAGGTAAGACGTACAGAACCTGTTGTATAACCTGTGAGGAGCTGCAGACATAGCTCATTAAAACAATGGAGCTGTAGGGCCATATCTCTTGAAAATGAGCAGAGAGAGTATGCCTACATGCAGTTTTTTTTTCGTTTAAAAAGGGGAATATTCAAATCCTTATACCTGTTTGTATTAGCATTAATTTGGTGAAAACACATTGTAACCTTTTTCATGATGATGTGATAGGTTTGGAAAATAAGTCACCTAGTGTTAATTCATCAGACGCAAGTTGTAAATGGTAGCATGCTGATTTAGCAAACCTGTATGCTAAGAAAGGAATTAGTTGCATTTCTAGGAGAAAAAGCAAGGAATAGAAGGGCATAAAGATGAAAGGGCTGTTGCCCCCTTTCTTCAGAACACAGCCTCCCCATCCATCTTTCCCACAGTTTGTATTTTACATTATGTTTGCATACCTGCTGAGTACCAGATTGATGAAAGTTCCATCACTTTTCAAGCAGCATTGGTTTCTTATCTGCCTTGCTTCAGTATGTATCTTGAGCTGCTGTTTACATCACAGTTGAATTTGGGCCAGAAATATCAATGGCATTTTCATTTAATTAGGTCATAGTTTGCTGCCCTGGCCCCGTTCGTGGCATAACTCCATTGAAGTTAGTTAGTCAAAGTCCTCCCTATCCACATAACCAGTGCGAGGGAGAATAGACTCAGGGCCATAGGGCCCATCACACCAGAGGAACCTGCTAGTTCTTGTTCAAGTGACAGTCACTTGGGGGCACTGTTTACACAGGTAGCAAATCCTGCAGAAGAGCATTTCAAAGCACTTATTCATAATATGAAGTTCCTACATGAAGATGCACTTGTGTGAGTAAGTGTCATCAAAGAAGCATTTCTTTCTTTAAAGGAAAGACTTCTACAGCTGTCACCCTGGCCAAACACTACAGCACTGCCTGCTTGTCCGTTGACTCTGTGGTAATGGAAGCCATCTCAGACAGGAGCAGTTCAGCAGGGCTTCGCGCAAGGGAGCTGTGTATCAAGGCCACCATAGAGCAGGCACAGCGGGAGGCAGAGGAGGCTGGTAAGCAATCCAAACATCAAGAGCATAAAGGCTGGACAGCTGTGCCGCACAGAAAAATGGCGGACACAACCACTATCCCATTTCAGTAATACAGCCCTGTCATTCCTTCATTTTCTTCGCATTGTTATAAAAAATTCTTCAGTGACCCATGGAGGCCTATGAAATACTTAGAGATGCATGAAGAGAGCTTTGTATGAGGTACCAAGCCTGTGTATGAATAACCAAGAAGAACTTTATAGATGGTGGAAGCAGGAGTATCAAATAATCTTTATTTTCAGCTACATTCCTACCTGTAGTTGAGAGGGTTGAACACAGTTATGGGTTTGGAGCCTTGAAATCAAAAAGAAAATCAGGGATTAGACACATAGAACCCCCCGTAACGCAGTTCCTGCTTATAGTCTAACATAGATTGTGGCAATTACAATCTCTGTCTCTCTTGTGTCTTCACACCTAGGCTTTCCTTCCTTTCTTCTTCAGCTTTATCCTAAGTCAAAGGCAGCTGGTATCTTAAAACCACTTTCTCTGCACTGCTCTATTATTGAGCAGATTTAGCATATTGGAGCTGGTCCATGGCATGGTCCGGGGTATGGGGCCAGTCCACAGGTGTGATCCTGCTCCCAGGGCCAATTAGGTATGTGGGGTCAATGTGTGGGTCTGACCCAGTATCCAGGGCTGGCCCCACATGCCAGATCCAGCCACAGACTGACCTCACAAGCTACATCTGGCTGTGGACCAGCCCTGCACCACTGTTTTGGCTCACAAGGCTTGATAGATCAGGCAACAATGGTATAAACTACTTGTTCACATTGTAAGAGAACATGTCCTGAGGACATCTCACTCACTCACTCACTCTCCTCACTTCAGAGTTTCCCTTGCTACTTATCTGTCATGCCTTGATGTTCAAACAATTAGAAAAGAGAAAAGGGAGGTGAGGTACTAGTCATGATCAGTGGTATGCTGTGAGGGCAATATTTTTCTTCACCGGGCTCCTTCTCCCCTATAGCCTGCACCTTTCTACTCCCAGATGGGTCTTGGTTACAGTCTTAACAGTTCCACCCATGTTCCCCAGTCTGGGCTCATCTTCTTTGGCCCTCCAAAGGGAGTCTGTTGTCAGGTATCCTCATCTCTTCCTGCCTTTGGGTCAGGACCCCTTTTCTTTGTTTAAGTCTTAATTTTCTTAAATTTGTTGCCCATAATGGGACAGCCTTCCCCTGGGGCCCCGAGGTAAGTCTCAAGACAGCCTTTGGTCTGACTGGCAAGCCCAAACCATAACAGGGCTCAGGACTGGCGCCCTGTTACATACATCCTTTTCTGATTTTTGTGCTTTACTGAGTACTCCTTTCTCATCTTTGGCCATTTTCTGGACCTTACTATTCTACCAACGTATTTCTTGTTTAGTTCTCTTTATTTTTTTGGTTTTACCCAACACTTTCTTAGCAAGTGTAAAGTAACCTACTTGCCTTCATCCCAAAGCATATTTACCACAGCCTCTTCATAGTCATAAGACTGTAAATTGACTTTGTTATGCTGTGCTGGTTTATTGCCATGATCTAGCTGCCACCACTTAATCTTTCCCTTATGTTCTCTTTCTAACTTACTGTTTCCCAGGGTAATAACCCAGATCAGCAGTTAGGACACCATGTTTGGCCATTATGCTCACACTGAGAATCACTTTACAATCTTCTACTTCCTTTATCACTTTAGTCATTATGAAGCCAATTTAACTTTTGTTAATGGTTAAGCATTCATCCTTTTTCTTGAAAAGCATGTTTATCAATGGCAGACTACAGGTCTTTGCATACCCAAACAAATTGTCTCCTTCCTCATTCTTTTGTCCATATTTGTAACCCCTGTGATCTTTATAATTTTTCTGCAGTATTTATCAAGGTGTGTTCATATCTGTTCCTCAGACAAGCCTTTCATTAAATAGAAGAGCTTCTATAGATGCATCTAATGTAGTTATAATGTTATATTTATTTTTGCTTGGTTGCAGCCCACCTGTGAATAATATGCATTGATGATGTGAATTACTTTCCCTTCTATTTAAAGTTTCACTGCCATCAATCTGTCATTGATTCTTTTCATCTCCAGGATGAAGCCTTCACTAAGAATGAACCCAATTCCATTTATTTGATTGGAATTACCCTGTAACTTGTATCTGTCAAAACTGTGGTGCATCTAGCAAGTGTGTTTTGCTTTACTCAGCTTCTGAGCCTTCAGAGCTGTCATTGCGGGGGGAAGGGTGCAGGATTAATAGATTCATAGATTGTAAGGCCAGAAGAGACCTCCAAAGATCATTGGGTCCAGCCCCCTGCACCAAGCTGGAAGGATAACTGAGGGTCAGGTTACCCCAGTTATCTTTCCTGCTTAGTGCAGGGAGCTGGATGTACACTGAGTGAAAAGTGCTGCTTGAAAACTGTCCTTCAAAGTGAAAGAATTGGGGCTGGTGTAAGGTGCTGGGTTGACATCTCTGGAAAAAAAGCCATGAGTTTACCCACAGCACAAATGCATCATAAGCTGTATCAGCTTCATAGGCACTAATCTGTTATGGGCTCTCTGTGCTTTTGAAAGGGTCCACCTATGTCCTTCTTCTTAGGTGTTGGGCTCCATCCCTTGCTTTTTAATACAGAAGGATGACTGGTTTATTTCAGTGAAATAGGTAACTCCATTCATGGGCAGATCCAGGATTTTGATGAGGGGATGTCATGTCCCCTTCAGCAGTAGAGCACATGCTCAGTGAAGAGAGCTCATTACAAATGTGCCACACAGTGAAAGGGGCTGTAGCTGCAGCCCCTGTCTGTGATCCTGGATGCCAGTGAGTTCCCACCAGCTCTCGATGGAGCTCCACATGTGCTGTGAGCTCTGAGCTCACTGGCATGGGGTCACTGGCTGCTGCTCCCCTCCTTTCCCCTGCATCTGAATTCAGTGGCAGGAAAGGAGGAGGGCAGAGAAGAGCAAAGAGCAGCAGGCTCCACAGCTGCTTGAAAGGAGGAACTCTGAATGGAGCCCACACTGACCAGTGGGGAGCTCCTAGCAGGAGCTACATTGGAGTGCCAGTAGGCTGAAAGCTCATTGCACATGTGGGGCACAGCCAAAGAAGGAGTGAAGCCATGCTGCTGTTCGACCTCTGGATCTGCCTCTAGCCCTGTTTTGCCCCTTGCTGGAATATATTCTGCTCCTTGTAGTGTGAGAGGGGCAGGAGGAAGATGCATTGGTTTGGAAGTGCCTTTCAGCTCTCCAGCCCTCTGGCCAGATAATAAGCAGTGCTGGCTATTGATTCCTGGTCCCACACAAGGTTGACAAAATGTACTCTCTTAATTTACTCTCCTAACTTACTTGGTATGGACCTTCATTACTTTGTGCCCCACTATAGTATATGAGCACCAAAAGTTTCTGGTTTTATAGTGCAGCATCCTGCATTATACTATGGCTTGATAGTAAAATAAATTCAGGCAAGGATGTTTCTTCTTCATGGTCAAGTTGCCTTTCCTGATACTAATAATAAGCTTGTGCTTGATGGACCTAACCCTCTTGGAGTGCTTGAGGATATAGAGGATGGTACATCCTCTGCTGGGGGAGATATCACCCTCAGGAGGGTGCATCATGCTCCTCCATGTGTTTGCTTAGCTCCACTAGCTGGTGTGGGCAGACAGGCAAAGCAACATATAACTAGACTCAACTTGGGTGACTTGGATGAAGTGCCTCTTCACACTGGGTTTGCATATGGCTCCTGCACATTTGAGGAGTGGTAATCATTGCAGATGTTCTTGTGCAGGTTTGTGGTGAGTTATTCCTCAAGGAGCTGAACTAGTCTTTCATCCTAGCAGGTCAGTCGACTGAGCTCTCTGGAGTGCCAGCACCTCTGAGCACAAGACTGAGCATTGAGGCTTTGGCCAAGCACACTTCCGAGGGTAGTCAGCAGAGCTCCGAGAGTAAAACTGGGCCACAGTCTGTTACCTCCCGGGGCTATAGGGGAAGTACAGCAACAGGGAGGGGGAGGTCCGAAGGCCATGCATCTCTGTCACAGAAGCAGCAGCAGCAGCAGCAGCAGCAGCAGCACCAGTCAGATCAAACAGGATCACAGGTAACAAGCTATCCGCATCAGTGAATAAAGGATTTTTCAATCATTTCCTAACAGTGTTGGAGAAACTGAGAAGTCTGCCTCAGAGCTGTGCTGGCTCAGTGGGTTATTGCACTGGGCTTTCTTCTCTGGAGATTGAGTCCTTTGCATTCACCAATGAAAATAAGTCTGTTGGTCTTGTTCAGCTCCCCTGTGAACAGAGACAACCCAAGCAGGGTGCAGGGCCAAGGGCAAATTAGCCTGTGTGGGGCCCTGCCCGCAGATGCAAGGAAGCCGGTGGTAGATTCGGCAGCAGGGGAGTGGGTGCCAAGCGGCCAGACATGAAGCTGTTGGCAGCTCAGAGTCACTGCAGCTGCTCCGCCTGGCTCTCTAGGGCCCTCCGAAGCACAGGGCCTGGGGCAGTCGCCCCAATTGGCCCCTCCCCCTCCCCCCAAGACAGCCTGCCCATGAACATTGGCCCACATGATAACACCACTGCTTAGTTTGCATGGTTTTTCTGAAGCTTCTTTTCCTTCTGTGGTGGTGAACACTGCAGGTTCCCTCCAGCCCAGTTCCCAGTGCTCCTATCCAGCGACGGCTCAGCATCAGTGCCAGTGTAGCAGGAGAGGTTGGCCTGATGAGCTGTATACTTCCTGATGACTTACTGGTGGAGATCCTCTCGGAAAGGATGCAGGTGTGTCAGGCCTTTCTCTGGGCAAGGGGTAAATGTTGGTCAGGATTCTGTTGTATTTGGGGGAGAGAAAGAGAATGGGTTATTTCCAAGGTAAGCTTAAATCATAGGAAGTAAGGGTTGTAAGGGACCTCAGGAGGTCATCTAATCCAACACCCTGCTCAAAGTAGGACCAGCCCCGACTAGATCATCTCACCCAAAGCTTTGTCTAGCTGGGTTTTGAAAACTCCCAAGGATGAAGCTCCCACCACCTCTCTGGGTAACCTGTTCCAGTGTTTTACTACCCTTCTAGTGAGAAAATTCTTCCTAATATCTAACTTAAACTTCCTTTGCTGCAACTTGAGACCATTGCTCCTTGTTCTGTCATCTGCCACCACTGAGAACAGTCTAGTTCTATCCACTTTCAAAACCCCCTTCAGGTAGTTGAAGACTGCTATTAAGTCTCCTCTCAGTCTCCTCTTGTCTAAACTAAATAAACTCAGTCCCCCCAGTCTTTCCTCATAAGTCATGTTCCCCGGCCCCCTCACCATTTTTGTTGCCTTCCGCTAGACTCTCTCCAATTTGTCCACATCCTTTCTGTAGTGAGGGGCCAAAAACTGAACACAGTACTCCAGATGTGACCTCACTAGTGTTGAATAGAGGAGAATAATTACTTCCCTTGACCTACTGGCAACACACCTACCAATGCAATCCAGTATGCTGTTAGCTTTCTTGGCAACTAGGGCACACTGTTGGCTCATATTCAACTTATTATCTACGGTAACCCCAAGGTCTTTTTCTGCAGAGCTGCTGCCCAGCCAGTCAGACCCCAGTCTGTACTGGTACATGGCATTGTTCCCTCCTAAGTGCAGAATTTTGCCCATGTCCTTGCTGAACCTCATGAGATTCATTTTGGCCCAATCCTCCAATTTATCTAGGTCCCTCTGGATCCTAGCCCTACCCTCCAATGTATCTACTACTACCCCCAGCTTCGTCTCATATGCAGACTTGCTGAGGCTGCTCTGTATGCCATCTTCCAGGTCACTGATGAAGACATTGAACAAAACCAGCCCCAGGACCAACTCCCTGGGGGATGCCACTTGATACCTGCTGCCAGCTAGACATTGAGCCATTGATTACTATTCTCTGAGCCTGATGCTCCAGCCAGTTTTCTGTCCACCTTACAGTCTACTCATCCAGCCCATAATTCCCTAGTTTGCCTGTGAGAATGATGTGGGAGATGGTACCAAAAGCCTTGCTAAAATCAAGGTACACCACATGGTCTCCAGCAGGAGTATGAAATAACTAATTTAGAAGATGTGCCAGTGATGATGCCTGCTAATGTGCTTTCACATCAGAGCAGATCTTTTTACCAAATGAGGATACTGTGTCTCTATGTCTTATATTTAGTTTAATTGCCCTTTTGATCTTTATTCACAGCTGAGTGACTGCTATCGGGGTGTGGTATTTGATGGACTCGAGACTCTCTTCACACGTAGTATGTCTTCTGCTCTCCTCTGCTTACTCAAAGCTATCAACAACCGGCGGTACATCTTCTTCGTGAACCTGTTCCAGGATTATGTTGCCATGAAAGCCAGGGAGAAGGCCAAGATAGAGCAGGAAGGTAAGAAGGATGTGCTCTCACACATACATCCATGTGTCAGTTTTGGCATCTCTAGTAGATCTGGTCACAACACTTTTTGCTTTCCCCTTTCTGGGAAAATTGTGTTGAGAATAGACACAAAAATATTTAAAACGGAAAATTCTGATTCTTCAGTGAAAATACAGGAAGTCAGAGTGTTCCTGGTGGGGCGGCATCTCATTGGATATCTCATTTGCATCACAATGTCAGCAACCTGCTACCTTTCCCAGCATTGATATCTGTAGCTCCCATGATGGCTCTGGGATTGAATTTCATAATGTATGTAGTGTAATAAGGTAAATGCTGTAGGATTCAAACTTTAGGGATACATGTTCTTAGGGACTCTAGCTGGAGTACAAGCTACTACCAGAGAAGAAACTTAGATCCTCTCAGTCTATCCTGCACACTAAACTATAGTTTCAGCTGGTTAATTGTTTCTATCTTTGCTCTGTGTTGAAGAATGGGAAAAGAAGGAAGCTATTGCAAGAGAAAAGGCTCGTCTCCAGGAGATGGATGAGGAAGAATATGATGCCCTCACTGAGGAACAGAAAATTCAGTTTGATAATGAATTGCTTCAGGCCCTACGGGAGCGGAAAAGGAGGTTTGTGAACTTTTTCTCAATGGCTTCAAAGTAGCTTAGCTTCCTAGAACAGGACTTCTTTACTGCCCCATCTCCAGGGAGGATCTTTTGGTACATGCCCTCTGTTCCTTTTCTGTTAACATTGCCCTGTGCTGTGACACTGGGAATAACCCATTTTACAGTTGGCTTGTGGGTCCAATGAAACAGGAGTCTTTGTTCTGATGTGTAAGCTGTGAGGAGCAAGTATCCATCACAAGTGGCAGTGGGAACTTCAGTTTCTCTTTTTGGGTCATAATGCAAGAGCTATAGCTCCCAAGAGTGAGGTACAGAGACTCTGCTCTCATACCAGAGGAAACCAGTATTGCTCAAAGGGCCCTCTGCTTTCTCCAGTTGTAGCCAGGGTCTCAGGACACCTAGGTTTCTACCCAGCTGTTACTGGATTTCTAGGTAACCTTGGTTTTCACCTCACTGTGCATCAGTACCATCTCCTCAGTGGTAGAACAGGTCTCATTATACTGTAAGGTACTGCTGAGATCCACTGAAGAAACAGATTAGGCAGAGCTAGGTGTCCTCATCATCACTACCATATTTTAATAATGCTGAACTAAAGACTACAATGAAAATTCAGTGATAATTGTCCTTGAGGCACAGAGAGATCTTATGTCTTTGCAAGCCTGCATATGAACTATAATGGCTTAACTGAGATGTTATCCTCAAACTAGGTTAAGTTCTTACAGTGCTATTTTTGCAATTCCAGTTTCATCAACTTCTCTTTAGTGGCATGAGCCAGAAGAGCTAATGATAGCCTAGGGTGTGCAAAATGGAAAATTAGATTTCATTTCAGGAAAGAATTCATGTTCAAGAGAGAGCTTAGGCATGTGCTTAACTCTAGCCTGAACAGCTCTGTTACTCTGGCTTCAAATACATGCTTAGAATAAGTCAGCCTGGATCATCTGATAGTCGCTTCCAGCCTTGGAGTCAGTGGATTGGGTCCACAAGACCAGACTCTTGCTGAAAAGCACACATTTCCCAGGGTGATAGACACTTTAGAGCCTATGGGTTCTTGTACATGTGGCAGGGGTTTAGTTCAGTTTAGTTCTCCCTAAACTGAAACGGTGGGCTTTGAAAAACCCACCATTTCAATTTAGGGAGAACTAAACTGAACTAAAGCCCCATCTCATGTACACAAGGGTTAGGGGGCCCGAACCTTAGATCCTACTTGCATCTCCTGCAGCGAGGAGGGGAGAGGGGGGAAGGCAAGCTGCCGGTGGGCCGAGTGGTCCCTGAGCTGTGTGGGCAGTGGCAGTGCCCCCCAGGTGGCATCTGGCCCAGGCAGTCCCAGGGGGTGCTGCCACCGCAGAGGGAAGCACCAGGCCCCATGCAGCTCAGGGGCTGTGCAACCCAGTGCCAGCTCATGCAGACAAACTCAACTGAATTAAAAAGAAAAGCGGCAAGGAGCCTGATCTTTTTTCTTTTTCGTTTTTTCTCCCGGAGCCTGCCTGAGCTGTGCAGGGCCCGGAGCTTCTCTCCACGATGGTGGCACATCCCCCCCCCCTGGGACCACCCAGGCCAGGTGCCAGCAGGCAGGTGCTGTCTGGGGGGCACCACCACCACAGAGGGAAGCACCGGGGTCCCCTGCAGCTCAGGAAATGCTCAGCCCACTGACAGATCGTCGCCCACCCCCTGCCCCTCCCGGGCGTGGGAGAGGCAGACAAGCTCCAGTACCCCGTGCACCATCCCTGCCTCCTGGGACTGCCTGAGAACAACTAGTTTGCCCCTGGGGCATAGTGGTAAGGTGACGGAAAGATGGCTGGGTGTGCTGGTGGTATGAGAAGGTGGTGGGGACAGTACATGGGGTTCTGGAAGCCCACCAAGCCCAAGCTTCCCCGAGCACATTGGCTTTCAGTGCCCTGTGCACCATTGCACTTTGTTATGTAGCGAACTAAAACACCTCAGATGGGTTTTACCTTGCTATGTAACAAAGTTATTTAAAGCAGAATACGCTACTGAGTGTGTAAACAGCAATGCCATTAAAGCGGAATATGCCACCAAGCATGTAAATAATAACATCATTAAAGCAGCACAGAAGGACAATTAAGCCGCTTTAAAGGCCAATTTTGTTGTGTGTACAAAGGCCGTCTTACTATACATTTTCTGTCTGCTCTGTTAAAGGGAGATGGAGAAGCTGGCTCGAGAACTTGAGGAAAAGAGGCAGCAACAAGAGCTTGAGCGCCTGCGAGAGGAGGAAGAGATGAAGAAGAAGAGCAAGCGATGGAAGAGGGAGATAAGCAAAGAAAAAGATGAGCCCTCAGGAAAGAAAAGCCAGCTTGGAAGCAAGCAGGTACACAGCTACATTAACAAAGATCCTTACCTCTACCTCATGGACCTTATCTGCTGCATTGTTCCCATCACTGGAACAACTGAGCACCACAGCAACTTGAAGTTCGGTCACTCAGATATTGCTGTTCCCAGGGACCAGTAGCTGGGAATGAACAATAAACAGGACTGTCTCCTGGGAAACTTCAGTCCTGCTGTTTACACACTCAGTGGCATTTCCTAATCAGACCATGTAACAAGGGTTCTCCAGAGATTGTCCTGGCTTCCATTTCTTCTCTAGGTGCAGTTCCATATGTCAGTTTTGACCCAGGAGTTTGAACAGGTTTTTAGGTCCTGGTATGTTAATTGGCATCTCTCTCCATTTTACCACTTGACATCTAGTATGCTCATATACAAATGTGTGGACTGTCACCATTTTTTGGGTTGGAAACAGGATATTCTCATTGGACAACTACCCAATCTGGGATTTTTTTCCCCAATGGTCTTGATTGCACCTAACTCATTTTACATTCAGGGCTAGACTTACAGTAGTAATCAGAGATGCTGGGCACCTAGACCTCTTGTTGATTTCATAGCTGCTGATCACCTCTGAAAATGAGCCTCTAAAGATTTGTAGCTATTCAGGCAGGCTGAGTTTCTCTTTCAGTTTGTGAGAGCTGTTTAGGATTTCAGTTAACATTTGTATCAGTGTTCTTATTGTTTTGCTCATGGGCAGTAGCTGAGCTGATGCAATAGACTCATCTACATTAATAAAATTATTTAATTAATTTGTATTCTGAAAGAACCAGCTTCTAGGAAGAAAAGAAAACCACCACAGCTAGTGCTGCTGGAAGATTCAAACCTGATGCAGAGGTACTGTTCATAGCTTGTTAGGGGCTGGAAGGGACCTGGTAGATTATCGGGTCCAGCCCCACTGCACTAGGCAGGAAAAGACAACTGGGGTCAAGTGACCCCAGTGAGGTGACTGTCCAATCTCCTTTTGAAGATTTCCAGGGTAGGTGACTGCACCACCACTGGAGGGAGTTTATTGCACAGTCTGGACACCCTGACTGTGAAGGAATTTTTCCTGGAATTGAGCCTGAAGCAACTTTCCAGGAGTTTGTATCCATTGCTCCTGGTCTTCCCCAGGGGCACCCTGGTGACCAGTTGTTCACCAAGTTCTTGATGTACTCCTGAGATGTAGTGGTAAGCCATTACCAAGTCCCCTCTCAGCCTTTTCTTCTGTAGGCTAAAGAGGCCCAAGTCCCTCAGCCTCTCCTTGTATGGCTTGTCTTGCAAGTTCCTGATCATCCAAGTGGCTCTTCTCTGGACCCTCTCAAGTTTTTCCATAGCCTTCTTGAAGTGTGGCACCCAGAACTGGACACAGTAGTCCAACTGTGGTCTCACCAATGTAGAATACAGTGGGAGTATCACTCCCTTAGTTTTGCATGAGATGCAATGGTTAATGCATGCCAGCATGTTGTTTGCCCTGATAGCCACAGCATCGCACTGCCAGCTTATGTTCATAGGATGGTCAGTCAATACCCCTAGGTCCCTTTCAGCTGTGATGCAAGTCAAATTGTCGCCACCAAGCCTGTAGGTATGTTGGGGATTGTTTGCCCCCAGACGGAGCACCTTACATTTCTGAGTGTTGAACTTCCTTTGGGTCCAGTCTGCCCAACTCTCCAGCCTGTCCAGGTCCACCTGTATCTGCAGCCTATCTTCAGGCATGGCCACACTCCCCCATAACTTAATGTTGCCCACAAACCTGGCCAGCAAGCTTTTCACCCCCACATCCAAATCACTGATAAAGATGTTGAAAAGCACCGGCCCAAGCATGGACCCCTGAGGGAGGGACACCACTGGCCATTTCTTGCCAGGACAACACAGATCCATTCATGAGAACTCTCTGGGTCCTACCATGCAACCAGTTTTCCACCCACTGAACTGTTGAGCAGCTGAGCCCACAATCTTCCATTTTTTCCACACGGATATCGTGGGATAGTAGATAAAAAGCCTTTTGGAAGTCTAGGTATATAATGTCAACCTTCTCTCCCATGTCCAGGTGGCAAGAGACCTGTTTCTGGAAGGAGATGAGGTTGGTAAGACAAGACCTACCCACAACAAAGCCGTGCTGGCTGTCATTCAGAATCTTACCCTCAATTAATGTATCACACATAGATTCTTTAATGAGTTTTTCCAGGATTTTCCCTGGGATGGAGGTTAGGCTGATTGGCTTGTAGTTGCCCAGGTCCTCCCTCTTCCCCTTCTTGAAGATGGGCACAATGTTGACCCTCTGCCAGTCCTCAGGGATCTTCTCTGTGCACCACAAATTCTGAAAGAGCTTTGCCAGGGGTTCCACAATGACCTCAGCCAGCTCTTTCAGCACTCTTGGGTGAAGTTCATCTAGTCCTGCTGACTTATAAATGTCTAGCTTTTCTAGCTGGTTTTGCACCAGATCAGCATCCACAGTGAGAAGGCTATCATTCTCACAGTGCCACCTGTGATCCTTATCTCGCTTGTCTTTCCCCTTGGTCCGGTGAAATACTGAAGCAAAGTGGTCATTCAGGAGTTCACTTTTTTCCTGAGTGTCCATTACCAGCTATCCCAAGGTGTTAATCAGGGACCCCTCACTTCCATTTATTTTCCTTCTGCTCCCTACATACCTAAAGAAGGACTTCTTATTGTCCTTGATTCCCTTGGCTAACTTAAACTCAGTTGCTGCCTTAGCTTTCCTAATAATTTCCCTACAAGTGTGAACCACTGTTGTATAGTCCTTCTTGAGGACTGTCCCTAGCTTCCACTGTGTGTACACCTCTTTTTTTCTTTTTCAAGAGGACTGCAATGTCTCTATTGAGCCAGGAGGGCTTACCAGCCCTTCTGCTACCTTTCATCTTCATGGGAACAATTTTCTTTTGTGCTTCAAGGATCATGTCCTTGAGGAACAACCACTCTTTGTGCACCCCATTCACCTTCTGTCCCTGGTCCCACATCACCTTCCCTACTAATGCCCTGAGCCTGCTGAAGTCAGCATTTTTGAGTGCTGCAGGAAGATTCAGACCTAATGCAGAGGTATTGTTCATTTCTAAAATAAGGGGAGATCTGGAGCCTGATCCAGGATTGGCTGGCTGAAGTAGCAGTGGAAAATAACTCAGGCCTGTGCTGTACATTTAGCACTCAGGACATTTAATGTTTAGCACTTTGGCATTTTTGTATCAAAGTATATTAATCCTGATCTAGAAGAGAGGATGGTTTGTCATAGGGCTGATCTTGTCCAGACTGTCAGCCTCATTGCTTTCACATGATCATGAAAACTGGAGAAAGAAGTAATTTCCCCATGTAAGGACTAATTTGGCAGGGGATGTCATGCAGGGCACTCTCGCGCCCTTGTTGTGGGAAATTTCTATATTAAGTGAACTAAATTGTAAGTCTTTGGGGATGGGATTCTGTGGTTTTGTTTAGTATTTGACACCATGAGGCACACAGAAATCATAGAGAAGTAGGGCTAGAAGGGGCCTCCATAGGTCATTTAATCCAAGCCCCTCCCTGAGACAGGATCATCCCTAACCAAAATATCCTATACAAATCCATAATATAACCTCTTAGTAAAATTACCATCAACTCTGGTGCAACACAAGACATAACATCTGAACCTGCCATAGATAAATCAGGGGGATCATGGCAGCCAATATCCTGCTTCTGTAAAAAGTTGTTAATACACACTCAAGAGATGCCAGGTAGAGGGCCATGCCCCCCACTACAGAGGAAGGCAAAACCCCCCACGGTTCGTACCAATCTGACCATGAGGTAAAATTTCTTCCTGACTCTATATATGGTGATCTATCTGGCCCTGAGCAGAGGGACAGGACGTTCTAGCCAGGAACCTCCAGCTTCAGGTCCCAGCAGGCACATTGGCACACTCAAGTCAAAATCCTCAGATTTGGCTGCAGCCAACACCTAATGCTCTGAGGAAGGCCTAAAGAAAACCCTGACACGTAGCAGAAAAGGGGAAGAAAGAGATTCCCTCCCAGGTTCAAGAATGGGGCTTCTGAGCACTAGAGCAATACAAAGTGTAATCTTACAGAATTTAAGTTAGTAATGAACATGCTTGCCTCCTTTCCCGTGATGCTGACTTTGCAGGTTGCTGCTCAGTCCACTACCAATAAATCAGACTTCAGGCTGAATGAAGGAGTAGAAAGGAAAGTGTCCACGAAAGATCGTCCTGATTCTGTTTCAAATGACAAGGAGGAGAAGAAAAAGAGGAGCAAACTCACTCTACAGGAGGTAGTCCTGCCAGGGACACTGCCTCCTCCCATCCCAGAACAGGAGGAAATGGAAAAAGAGGTGCTGAGTGACAGTGAAAAGAGTTTGGCCCAGAGGTTTAAGGTCTATGATGCTGCACAGAAGGACATTACCCAGATTTTGCTGCTCTGGGACCGGGCACAAGGCATTCTGCTGCCACCCCCAAATCTTGATGAGACTCAGCATGAAGCAGAAGATCAGCGTCAGGCACCATCAGGTCGGAAGGGCCGCAAGGACAGGGAAAGGGAGCGTCAGGAACGACTGGAAAAGGAGAGAGCAGAGAAGGAGCGGCTGGAGAAGGAGAGAGCAGAGAAGGAGCGGCTGGAAAAGCTAAAAGCCCTAGAAGACTCCAGGGTGTTTGGGCTGGAGAAGGAAGTAGTGGAAGGAGCAGACAAAGACCAGGAAGGAAAGAAGGATGTGGGGGTGCCATGCCTGGAGTTCCAGGTGCTGAGCTCTGAGGAATCCAGTGGGAAGAGGATCCTAGAGAGTGGCAGGTTACCTGAAATAGAGCAGGTAAATTTGTTTCATGTGAAGAGAGACAGCAGGTAGTAGTGGGTTCTGGAACATGATCTCACCCTTAGCCATGCACAGCTGTAACACCCAGACTTTGGCCGCCAGGTGCTGCAGCTGCAGACCCAGACTTAAAAAATTCTAGTACCCCCAGGAGAATCTGATTGGGAGGAGCGGGGTCTCAGCTCCTTGCATAGTTGAGAACATAGCAAATCATTTAACTTTACTCTGCCTCTGTTTCCCACTCTGCCCAATGGCAGTGATGCCTGGGAGCAGTCTGAACTCCTCAGCTACATCTTTGGTGATGTCATAGGATCATAGGAACATTATTAGTATTCCAATCTTTACTGTTCCTTTTTCATTTTCATTCCCCACTATTCCTCCTTTTTTTACTTTCCTGTCATTATTTTCCTTATGTTCATCTCTGTATGTTCTCTCCTACCCTGTTTTCTGTCCTTGTGTCCTGTATGCTTCTTTCAGAAAGAATTAACCAATAGCACAAAAATAGTACACTTGGCACAAAAGCAGGGCAGATTACAGAAACGTTGTTGCCTGTGACTTTTCCCAGCTACCTTACTATGGGAAGGATTTTTTTCTCTTAGTCCTCCCAGAAGAGCTTTCTCAGGATTTTTTCCTGTATTTCTGCAATGAAAGAAGTCATTTCTCATTACAGTCCCCTTTACAGCAATTTAGTACTCCCATACTGGTTTTTTGGAAGAAAGAGTTTGAGATTGATGACAGACATTAATAAAAGACTTTCTCATGGCTTAGATCCTAGATGGCTTGGGGCTGGGTCCCTCAGGGCCACCGATTCCTCCTACTGCCTTTTTCTCTGTGATTTCCTACCCGGAGAGACGGGCGGCCCCTGTGGCAGGAGAAGCTCTCAAACACTTTGCCTTCATTGTGCCAGAAGATATGAGTATTGAGGAAGAAAAAAAGGATGCTGAAAGCAATGCAGATGCGACCATCTCTGTCCCTACAATGAAGGTACAAGTACAGATGGCAACATTGCTTTGTTTTCTTTGCAGAAGGGCATGTTAGGAGAGAAGTGAAGGGTCAGGGGAGCTGCAAAACCTAAACATAAAGGGATTCAGCAATGGAGCAATGACATGGTCCTGCATCTAGGAGGGTCTGGACTGGCACCACTCTCTCTAACCCTGCTAAATTTAAAAGCATGTATTTTCTGGAAGGGTAAGAGTGCTTGTGCAGCAGACTCGCTTATGCAGTTCCACGATAGCACACACAGCTGACCTCTGGCACTTGTGACCAGTCACTTACACAAGCAGCTGATTTGATGCTCCATGCATAGAATTGTGCACACAGAGGAGGCATGTGGTTACCTGGGCCTGTTTCTAAAAATAGTTGGCTCAGTTGTTTCCTATTTACCTGCCCTTACCATTAGTATCTTTAAAGAACCATAGCTCCCTCGTTTGCTTTGAGGTTTAGTACTGCCTTGTGAACCTGAATGTGAGCCTTAGCAAACAAAAAAGACCTCTTCTTCTCCAATTTCCCTTTACATAAATGACAAATTGAATTTCAGCTCTGTTCAGTCAATGTCATTCAATAAAGGAGGGGATGGGATTGGAAGAGGAGATTACAAAGAATGAAAAGTGACAAAAGCAAGCCTGTGAGCGTTATTGTTATGGTTAGGATTTTGCAGGCATTTGGTATAGAGAGGTTTCCATGGTAAAATTAAAAAAAACAAAAACAAAAACCCACCAAGCAATAAAGGCTTTAACTTAAGTGGCACGGAGAAGCCATTATT